CACCACTTCCAGTCTGGGTTGTAACAATCTGCAGACAGATTTCTGAGTATCTCCTCCTTTGGTACACAGATCCTCACTGAGCCATGTACTGTTAACAAATAGTTTCTCCATGATATTATCCAGCAAGGTCCCGTTTTTGTCAAAACAAGGGTGAGGTAATGAAAAAATAGAAATATTTCATTAAATTAACATTTAAATTATTTATATGCATCATTAAAATAAAAAAAACATGTTTTGAAATATATAAAGTGCACCAAACTTGACTCAGTCCATTCAACAATTCTAAATGGACAATTATGTAACTCATCAATTAATTATTTGAAAGGATAATTTGTCAATTAAATACTGAAAAAAATAAACAATTCATTAATGAGGCAAGAACTTCTCTCTCTCTCTCTCTCTCTCTCTCTCTCTCTCTCTCTCTCGCTCTCGCTCTCGCTCTCGCTCTCGCTCTCTCTCTCTCTCTCTCTCTCTCTCTCTCTCTCTCTGGAAGCCCCACTCTAAGGGAGTTTGCAGTGTATTAGTGAGTCATATATTGTACAACCACAGTCATAAAGTTTTCAATCAGTAGTTTTATTTCAGTATGTATTTTTCCAGTATCACAAAAAATGTAATTTTATATGGTTAAAACCATCTAGCTTATGTGCACTTTTTAAACACTGCCCAGCAAACCTTCGGACGTTTAATGACAGTTGAACGGTCACAACTGTAAAATACCTGAAATTAAGAAAAATTAACATGACATCTATTGCATTTTCCTTGCCCAGACTCAAACCTGGATCCTCCGGGGCAAGAGTCACCCGCTCTCCCAGCTGAGCTATGCCAGCAACTACTGAATATCAGACTTTTTTATATAAATAGAGGGTAAAGTGCGGGGTAAACTAACCAATCAGAGGACAGAGAAGATCTGCCACAGGCGACGCCTCCAGAGTGCCAAAAGCCCTTACAGCCGAGCGAGCAGGAGTCAGAAACCGAGCGCGCAGAGAGGCTGCCGAGCACGCACAGAGGCTGCCGCGCGCGCACGTTTTCCTCTGCCGTGTGCTCGTTGACAACGCGCGCACGCAGGTTTGTCACTTGTGCACATCCTTGTGCGCTTACAGACACAGTTTGCTCCCTCTCAGTGCACAAATGACCTCTCGCCATGTATATTTCCGCTCGCGAGTCCCGTTCACACGTGCGCTGCCATGTATATTTGCGCTCGCGAGTCCCGTTCACACGCGCGCTGTGGACCCAATGCGCGTGCACGGGTTGTGGCACGCTTTAAACGCCATAGATTCCTTTTGTATAGAATATTAAAAATAACACTTGTTTAAAACGTTGCACTGTATACATTTATTGGATTATATGTTGGTTTCAACAAATGACCAGCTTTTAACCCTTTATAGGGCCAATGTCCACATTTAGACACTTCCACTCACATCATAAATGATGTTGTGCCTTTTCACAAACTTGTAGAATTACGGGATTTCACCAAAACTATCATCAGAGACCATGCTAGTCACGGTTTGCTCCATGGCGCCATTCTACCAATCAGTGAAAGGCTATAACGCGCTAAATAATGGTGTGTCTGCAGAGCCAGACAGAGCTCGGTCTCCTCTCGAGTTTACAGTCAGATCTCTAAAACTACCAATGCTAGGTTTATGAAACACACATCACAAGGTAGACTTGTGCTAAATAAGGATATCTGTGTTTTAAATGTTAAACTCAATGAAGTTGATTAAATAATCACATGAAAATCAAATCTGCCATATTGAACATACTCCCTGAACAAGTAAAAGAAATCATGTATATTTTTAGGTAAAGTCTGTTGTTTTTTAGACAGTCTTAATATTCATGGTAACAGTAATAATAGCAATAATGATATTGAATATACTTTATAGTTTTAAGCTAAGATTTCTCTGGGAAATGGAGGACAGTTATTGCAAAAACCAATCTCATTATCAGTGACGATGATGAACAGGAGGAAGATGATAATGAGGCAGATCCTCAAATATAAAATATTCTAATAATCTATATTTGATCAGGAATAGTGTACAATGTTCAATAACTTTTCAAAAATACTTCACAATAATCTGTTTTTATAAAAATATTCTATATTGTTTAATAATTGTGATTATTCAGTATTTTTGAAGAGTGAAATAATGTTCTAAAATTAGCTACACTGAAAAAGAGAATAGTTTAATCAACCTAATTGAATTGCATCAATTGGTAACAAGCAATTTAATTAAGTTCATCCAACCTAAATTATTAAAATTGTACTAATAATTTAAGTTGGATAAACTTAATTAAATTGCTTGTTACCAGTTGAAGCATTTTTTTTAAGTTGGATCTACTTTTTTTTTACAGTGTAGATTATTCTAAAGTGTCTTATAATTATCCATACTATTCAAAAATAATGTTTATTTAATTTGCTCATGTTATTTTATTTCGGAATGTCTTTTACCAGAACAGGGCCTAAATCCATATTTGATCACTTAATTTTCACTGACTTTCTGCGTGAAAATAAATATTTTTGAAAATTGTAACAACAGAAATACACTCTGGTTTTGGACTACAAAAACACCCTGAGATAAAAAAAATACTTCAATGAGTGCCCTTTAAAGGGATACTTAGCAACTTTTTCATATTTTTAAATCATTTTCTTTAGCCAGTATGTTCTAAAATGACCCTTTACAAGGTTAATGAAAGGCCACCCAGCCCCTATCACCCCTTGTGGCCAGAATATGCCACTTGCAACTTCAGACTGGCAGGCAGCTGGAAAAAAATGAGCTGACCTACCTGGTGCTACAGTATGGTTCCAGCACGTTTCCTGCATGTTTTAGATCATGAACAAAGCTGATTTGTTTAATTTAGTGATGAACCACTCCCAAGAAGGCTGGGGAGACATTTAAGTTGTTAGATTAAGGTGTTAAAAAGATGAACGCACAGTGAGGAGATATATTTTGCTTTCAGTTCTACTAATGAACACTAGGGGGTGCTAAAAGCAAGCCAAAACTGCCTAGTCTCCCTTTAAGGTTACTGGAGTTTTGCTGTTAGAACAGTGGGTCAGTTTATATCATAAATGCTGTCAACTCCAATGGCCTCAGTTTGTTTAAACCTAGTTTTTAAAATATTTTATAAAGGGTTAATCTAATCTAGTGTTCAGTATTAATACAAAGGTTGGTGAACATATAAGGGTCATTAGTGCTTTTTGGTCAAGGACACTTGACAAAGAGTAGAACCGATTATGATAAAAATGAGGCCTTATTATGATCTGAGATGTCTCATAATGTGGTTATTGATTTGCAGGTATCCATTCCCAACACCAGTGTGGCCTGTATGCGTGGGGTGCTTGAGTTCTTGTACTGCGGTCTACTGACACCTTGTCCAGGTTTGGAGCCCATGGAACTAATTATTCTGGCCAATCGGCTGTGTTTGCCACGTCTCGTCGCCCTTACCGGTAAAGACCAATAAAGGCTCCATACACAAAAGTTAGAACTTCACCAACAAGGGGAGATAACGTGCAAATAATAAATACTTTCATGATTCTATTAATTCTGTAAATTTTTAGAGCAGCACGCTGTGGATGAACTTCTCCAGCAGGCAATGAAAGGAATCGACATCGATGGACAAGTGTTGGCTTATCTTGAGCTTGCACAGGTGTGGTCTCACTTATGTATTTGTGATTCTTCGTATTATTAATAATAAAGATAATTGTTTTAGTTGAATCGTTTAGTTAATGGTGAGCTTTTTCATTTTCTCTTGTCAGTTTTTTTTTTTTTTTTTTGTCTGACCATGAGATTTAGTTTTTGTTAATTCATTATTTGTTTCGTGTCACAGTTCCACAATTCCAAACAGCTGTCAGCTTGGTGCCTTCATCACATCTGCACTAATTATAACAGCATCTGCCGCAAGTTTCCCAAAGATATGAAGGCCATGTCTCCAGGTATGGTGCACGCCTCCTTCCTCTCTTGGCCTTGAGCATTCGCGTCTTTCAAACCCTTTGCAAAGAGAAATGAGAAAATAAACTACACCTTTTGCATTTGTTGTCTATGAAAGACTTTAAGAGCAAGTTCACTTAGAAATTATTTACACATTATATCTGAAATGTGACCAGTCACTGAGTTTAATATGCAGGCTGAACATGCAAATACAGTCTTCTACCCCTGTTTTCTGCATTAGCCGCTGATAGAAAATAGACAGGGAAACACTCTGGTCGGAAAAAAACCCCTCAGATTTATGTCAAACTGAAAATTAGCATTTATGGACTCGCCCATCTTGTCTCATAATGAGGACGGCTGTGTGTATTTTTGCAGCCAGGAGAAAGAAGAGCGTGTTTCAGCTAGTAGAAGCTAACTGTTAGCAATAGCAACTGCACAGCATGGCAGAACTCCTTCAGGCTTGTGTTATTTGTGGAGATAAAACGTCAACGTTGCAGAACGAACTGAGGCAGTGGTAGAGTCGCGCTGCTGTTAGCCAATCAAAGACGAGATGACTTCAAGGCTGCTTCTCAATACCAAAGTATGCTAGTACTTTCTTGTGTACTTAACAAATATGTTCTTGACAGGTACAGCAGAATGTCCATTCTACAAAGTACGGGAGGGCGAGGACGGCATTTGGAACAATACGCGCTGCTTTGTGCTATGGTTAAAATTATGACCTTAAAAATAAGACTGTTTTTCGCTATTAAATAACAAAATAACAATGACTATTTTATTTGTATAATATTTGGTCCACCTTTTATCAAAAGTGATCAAATGCCAGCATTTTCTGCTGTTAAATTACTAAAAGTTTATTCTTCATCAAAACAGCTATTTAAGGCAACTCTGTTTTTTTCTATAGTGGGTTAGCTAATTAGCATGTTGCAGTATCCTAAGAGTCAGGCATAAAAAAACCACACAGCAAATTTTAACTTCATATTTATATATTTAGACTTCATTATTTGTATTTTTGATATAAAAATACTACAGTTATGAGCTACCTGCAGAAGGATGCGTTGATGCATTCTAGACACAATGGGTGGAGCAAGAACACATTCGGGAACTTTGAGCGTACTCGCTATGCTTCATACTTAGGATCAGAGCAGTACTTGGGCCAACGTTTATGACGTTTCACAAGTGAGTACACAAGTACAAAAAAGTACGCATATTGAGAAATGGCACAAGACTCTTCTACTTCCTGAAACAGGGCCATGACAGCTTTTTTTCTACAGACGACTCACAAGGCATTTTTTTATACCAGAGACTATTTCAAATGTTTTGGAATAACACGTTAATGAAAGCTTAATGACTATTCTTAGTCCAATTATATTGTATTTGCTTCCCTTCCTGCAGAGAACCAGAAGCACTTTGAGAAGCATCGCTGGCCTCCTGTGTGGTTCTTGAAGGAGGAAGACCGCTATCTGCGCTCGCAAAAGGAGCGTGAGCGGGAGGAAGAAATCCTACGTAAGCAGCACACCAAACGGGGCTGGTGTTTCTGGAGACACCCGTCTTCTTCTCCACATGTCTCCTGAAATGTTTCGCCTCCTCTGACTCTTCACCCAGACCTGGATTGTCCCTTTTTAACCTCCTCATATTTAGATTAATAGAGGAGGGTGGGCTCAGAATGCTCTAATCTGTGGGGAAATAACTCTCAGAGCTAATAATCCTGAATGTCTGCATGCACAGGGAGAGTGTTTGTGCCTCTTTATTGGTGTGGGTGACAAACATGAATTCAACAGAAGGGTTTTAGCATGAATGAGTGAGTTTATGCTTCCAGGTTTGGTGCTTGACAGACATTGAGGCCAAATAGTGACTTAATCTCTGAGTGACTGGACAGGATGCAAGGGCTTTCTTTTGAGTCTCTCAGTCTTCAACCTTCACACTGACCTTAATACTTACACACTCACCACTGGAGCTTCCTGTAAGGGGTGGTTTACCTCTGCCTTCACATTTGTAGAGACTGTTAGCTTACACAGAGACACATATACAGCCACGTTAATGCCCATAACCATAATAACCAGGAACTAAACACTGACAACAAATCTCTTTTCTGCATTCTGACTCTTCAGGGGGAATGGTGTAGTCCACTCCTCGGAGGGGAACAGTTGGTGATTACAACCCTCATCAGGGGGTTTAATCACACAAATGAGCTCACATATGGTCGCAATGTTGCCCTTAGTGTCCATCATCTAGCTCTGCGTCTTTTAACTCTTCATTCTGCACACAACGTTAGGTGGGAGGGCAAATGCAGGCTCTTGTGCTTGAGTTTGCGTCAGTAAAATGCTTTGAGGCCATCACACAGCCACTCTATAGCACTGATGGCTGCAAAAAGGGCTAGCCTTACTTAATACTTCTGCCACAGAGAAGAAATGGATCCAGTGTTAAATGTTCTCAGACACCGGGATGCATTGAAGCACCTAAGCGACACCGCCAGGGGGCCACATTACTCAGATCCCAACAGGTGTATTTTATTTTTTACTTCCTTTGCTATTATTTTGAGATTATCACTATATCTTCAGCCTACTGCAAAGATTTTCAAAATAAAATAAATAGTACAAGCAATTAATATTGGCAGATTTTTAATCATGCATACTAAAGTACATCTAACACGATTTATATACCAAAGCTGCAATTCTTCCTTGACTTTCGGATTTTACTGTTTTCCAGCTTTTCTTTTTAAATTGGAAGTAAGGATGGAGAAGAAACAACATTTGTAGAAGATAACAGTCTTAGGTTATATTTAACTTTCTTATTTTGGGGTGGTATTTTCACTCTTTGGTGTCAGGAGAAAAGTGTCACTTGAAGATATGGCCTTCGATTCCTGTTGCTGGAATTGAAAACGGTGCTTAAAACACTAACACAACGTCCATGTGAACACACAGACTTTGATTTTCTGTCTCAGTCTTTGGTATTTATTTGTAAAGAACATATAGCAATGTAATTGTATTTTCACAAATAATTTGATATTTTTAAACCTTATTTTGCCCCTTTTCTTTTTACTAATAACTAATTTTAAAGGCAGATGATTCCTAGCTCTGCAAACCTTTTTTCCCTTTTCTATTAAAAAAACAATTTGCTTGAGTTTCTTTATTAATAAGGAATTTCATGTCACCTTGGATTGAATTCCATGTTTTTACAGTTGCTGTTTGAAGTAATTTGAGCAAATTTGATGGGTCCCCCCCACCCCCCCCATGAAGGGTGCTAATTTTTGGGGGTTTTGCACAAAATGTAGAAAAAGAAGAAAAACAAAAAAAAAAGTGATGCAGATTTTCCATTAGCACGTTGCTATTTGTGGGTTTGCGCCCCTCAGCTTTCCCCCAGTCAACTGTTGGAGCTAGATAGATGAATAGTGTGAAATGTGGTGTGTTCCAGCGTTTTCCACGGGAGGTGTGTAAAGTAATTTTCAGCTACTAGAATAGAAGTTGTATTGAATCTCACTTGGTCCAAGTGAGAATTGGGTTGATTCGTCCAGAAGGAGGACATGTAGACTAGAAATGAACAAATCTCAGGCAACATTAGTTGCATCTGATGTTGATTAAAATAATTTTGTGGTTAATTGAAATGTCATCCCAGTGCAGTGCTTTGGGAAATAAGAAATTATCACCCATCAGGCCTCATTTCTTGGTCCACGTGCCTTATACTTGGACAGTAAAGTGGACATTTGGCAACACCTTAGTTTGATCCTGCAGACCGGTTCTGCAGTTGTGATAAATACAGAAGATCAAGTCGTAACAAAAATAAATACATTTAAGATTAAGGTGTTGCATTACACAATCTCAGCAATTATCTTTCTTAATTTAAAGAAAGGGAATTTTTTTATGCCAACTTGAGCCATGCCTTTAGCATATTTGGGGCCTACTGTGTTATGCAAAGTGACTTTTTAAATACTGTGCAGTAGGATAGCTTGGTCTAATCATATTGTCTTAGATTAGGATGTGTTTTCCCTACATTGGGACATTAGATTAGTGTTTCTTCACTGAGCAGGTGATCAAGAGGTAGCTGTTTAAATACTTCTGCAGTATAACTTCAAAACCACTGACGGTGAGAATGCAGATTCAACTTTTTTTTTTATTAATGAGGCACTGGCTGGCCTCTGCGCTGAGAGGGTGCAACCACTTTTGAGATGTAGTGAATTTGCATGGTACCCTGACTTTTCAGAGCAACCTTTATGTTGTAATGCACTTTCTTTTTCCTGTATTTAACCTCCATTTATAGTGAAGCAGGATCGTTCTTAAACCTTTTGACTGTAGCATGCCATTTCTGCCCGTTCTTTATGTTTCGCTGAAGTTGCTACTTGGAGAAAATGAATAATGGGACTTATTTGGCTTTTTCTCCCCACAGAGGTTCTATTTTTCCCCCACGTGTGTTTTATAATGAATTTCAGCACAACTTAAAGTAGCAGTGAAATATTTGCAAGCTGCTGGGACATCCACACTAAACAGACCATCTGTTGCTGCTGTTCAATGCCACAGCCGTCCCATGCATGCTCTTATTGCAAGTTTTATAGTAAATGAAATTTAAACATGTGATGTGAAAGAAATGTTGGTCTTGGGGTACGACAATGGAAAACAGAAAAATATATAAATGGAATCCTAACTGGCTTAAGGCCAAGCATGTTTGGATTTAGATGCATGAATTGATGTTGGCATGGTGCAGGTTTGTGGGGTGACATTGCGTTGTGTACAGATGACTTTAAAGGAGCAATATGTAAGAATTCTACAGTGAAAAATTCATAAAACAGTCTAATGTCTCAATCGTGCTGGAAGGAAGGTTACATTGAAACAGATTTCATTCTCAGCCATCAGGGAGGTTGTCAGTTTTTCTCCTTTCAACAAAATGAAAGAGGGATGTAGTTCATGTTTATATCAGGGTGTTTGGGAGGTCACTGTATCTCCAACGAGCTAGTACTCCAGTGTTGGCATTTGTGATTCGACACAGACAGGAAAAAAGCTCTAGAGTTGTTTAAAGAACCAAAGCCAGTAAAAAGAAATGACTAAGAAGTTATTTCTTGTATCCCAAAAGAAGCCACAGCATATTTTTGTTTTGCTCTAATATCAGGTGAAGAAAGCTAGAGGCTAATATTGAGCTAACAATGCTAACGTTAAATTTGAAGGAAATGGTCAGCTCTAAGAAAAATCTCAAGTTACTGCTTCAAAACTAACAACTCAATATTACAGTGACATGTATGTGTGAAGTGAATAATGAGTCAATGGTGGTGTTTTACTTCCTTTAATTAGTCATTCAAAACTGTAACAGCAAGCTAACGGCAAGTTGGCGAACAATACTTCCTGTAATGCTGGAGAAATATTACTGTATTAAGTGTAGTAAGTGCTCCCCACCATTAAACACCCAACAGTGCCAACACCAGATATGACCATTTGTTTTTCTACTTATATCAACTTGCTGTGTATGACTATTTGCTATTTGCTTGAATCTTCTGGTGCTGATCCATAACTGGAAGCAGCCATGAAACTCATGAAATGGTAGTGAGAAAGTGGTTGCAGTAGCCAAATTTGACTACAGAATTTTATTTTTGGTTCATTCTTACATATTGCACCTTTAATGTCCCTTGATGCTCTTAAAGATTTACTGTGAGACATCTAAAAAATCGAGACAGTTAAAGCATACTCTGTTTATTCTTATTTAGCCCTTGACATTAGATCTACAAGCCAAAGTTAGACCTTCTCAAATTGTGATGTTTGTTGTAATTTCCCATCATCCTTTGTACTATCACCCTACTTTTGACATTTTGGTTCTTCCTACTTTGTAGGCCAGGTCTCCTGACTTTATAGTGAAGCCTAGTGACTGGGAGAACAATTTTATTTGTCTCCTTTCCTGTGCCTTCAGTGAAATCTCACTTGATGCACCAGTAGCCATCTGGGCTCAGATTAAGCCAAGAAACACACACAAGCATCAAAATACCAGTAGGTAGCTTGAGAATAAACTCAAGTGGAATATCACTGTAGTCACTAGATGTCTGGATAAGAATGATCATTTTAGATAAGGTTTGGTCATCTATGCCAAAGCTACGCAGCAGATGACTCGAGCGTTCGATTGTTAAAGGAAACCCAGCAAACCAGCATTTTTAGAGGATCTGTTCTTCACTCTTCAAGGTGCCTGCACTTTCTATTATGTAGCCTACTAAGACTTTTTCTTATGCTTTCTCTATATTTACAAGTTTTATCGATTCTCTGTGTGTGCCTGGTTGTTCTCTCTAAGCCAAATCCAGGAGTGTACTCTTATTGCTTCCATTATTTATCTGATCGTAACTACACTCTGTGTCCTTTAAGTTGGAGTAGAGTATTTGATTAATGAATAGTTGTATTAAAGGCACATATTAGCAGTGACAGCTGTATGTATTTTGCTTTACTGAAAGTGGTAATTATCCAAAATGCAGCACGGTGTTGTGGATTTGATAGAAGTTGGAAATAACCTTTTTTTAAGCTCACCATTCTGTATGTATTAACTAAGTTACTATATACATAGGATTGTATGGAGTCATTTCTATTGACATGGTGTAATTAACTCCTGGTCTATACTGTAAATTCTATGTGGATCGTATCTACTGTATAGTATTGTTATGCACTTTTGCTTCCATGGACTCATATGTGTGTTAATTATGTGTAATGCTCATGTCATGTTATGTTTGAGTTTAAAAAAGATGAGCACACCTCTCAAAAACTATTAAGGGCTTTTAAAAAGAAACAATCAGAATGTTTCACTGCTGTTGCAAAATGAAAAGAAATTTTTTTAAATGAAAACATTTTGTAATTTTTTTGGAACCACTGTGATTTGTACAAAACATTTAAGAGAAAAACAAATGTAGAAATAAATGTTTTCTTCCCTTTTGCCATTTCAGTATTTTGATGTTTGACTTGAATTTTATTAAAATGGATAATCTTTTGAACTTGTCTCACTTTTATGTTGTGTGCACATCTAGGAATGATATGAGTGTAAAATTTACAGATATGAGTGTACAATTTACAGATATTTTGGAGAGTAAAGTTGTCTACTCATAACTAGACTAAAATATTATTTTTTAAATTCTGAATGATAATCCCTGGGCTGCCACCTTACTGTGGTGGAGGGGTTTGAGTATCTCAATGATCCTAGGAGCTGAGTTGTCTCAGGCTTTCTGCCTCTGGAAGGGTCACCCATGGCAAACAGGTCCTGGGTGAGGGATCAGACAAAGAGCAGCCTGAAGACCTCTTACGATGAATTAAATAAATGGAAACCGTGTTCCCTCGCCCGGACGTGGGTCATCGGGGGCCCCCTCTGGAGCCAGGCCTGGAGGGGGGGCACGTTGGCGAGTGCCTGGTGGCCCAGCTTTCACCCATGGAGCCCGGCCGGGCACCCCCTTCCCATGGGCTCACCACTCGTGGGAGGGGCCAAAGGGGTCGGGGGCAGTGTGTGACGGGTGGTAGTCGAGGGCGGGGACCTTGGCGGTCTGATCCTTGGTTACAGAAGCTGGTTCTTGGCACATGGAATGTCACATCTCTAGTGGTGAAGGAGCCTGAGTTGGTGTGTGAGGCTGAGAGGTTCCGACTAGATATAGTCGGACTCACCTCGACACATGGCTCTGGCTCTGGAACCAGTTTCCTTGAGATGGGTTGGACTTTCTACCACTCTGGAGTTGTTCCCACTGAGAGGTGCTGAGCAGGGGTGGGCATACTAGTTGCCCCCCATCTTGGTGCCTTTACGTTGGGGTTTACCCCCAGTGAATAAGAGGGTAGCCTCCCTCCGCCTACGTGTGGGGGGACGGGTTCTGACTGTGGTCTGTGCTTATGCACCAAACTACAGTTCAGACTACCCACCCTTTTTGGAGACCTTGGAGGGGGTGCTGGAAAGTGCTCCTTCCGGTGACTCCCTCGTTCTGCTGATGGACTTTAACGCTCACATGGGCAACGACAGTGAGACCTGGAGAGGTGCGGTTGGGAGACCCCCCCCCGATCCGAATTTGAGTGGTGTTTTGTTATTGGAATTTTGTGCCAGTCATGGATTGTCTATAATGAACACCATGTTAAGACATAAAGGTGTCCATATGTGTTCTTGGCACCAGGATACCTTAGGCTGCAGCTCGATGATCGACTTTGTTGTTGTTTCATCTGACCTGTGGCCGCATGTCTTGGACACTCGGGTGAAGAGAGGGGCGGAGCTGTCAACCCGGGAACGTCTGGCAGAGTCTCCTGTCAGAAGGAGCTTCAATTCTCACCTCCGACAGAACTTCCAAAATGTTCAGGGGGAGGTGGAGGACATTGAGTCTGAACGGACCCGTTCCGTCCCTCCATTGTTGAGGCGGCCGACCGGAGCTGTGGTCGCAGGATCGTCGGTGCCTGTCGTGGAGGCAACCCTCGAACCCGTTGGTGGACACCGGCGGTTAGGGATGCTGTCAAGCTGAAGAAAGAGTCCTATCAGGTCCTTTTAACCTGTGGGACTCCAGAGGCAGCTGACGGGTACCGGCAGTACAAGCGGAACGTGACTCGGGTGGTCGCCAAGGCAAAAACCCGGGCATGGGAGGAGTTCGGTGAGACCATGGAACAAGACTTCCGTATGGCTTCGAGGAGATTCTGGTCCACCATCTGGCACCTCCGGGGGATAAAGCAGTGCGCTACCAACATGATCTATAGTGAGGACGGTGTGCTGCTGACCTCTACTCAGGACATTGTGGATCGGTGAGCAGAATACTTCGAAGACCTCCTCAAGCCCACCGACACGTCTTCCAGTGAGGAAGCAGAGTCTGGGGACTTTAGATTGGCCTCAAATCTTTGGTGCTGAGGTCACCGAGGTGGTTAAAAAGCTCCTCTGTGGCAAGGCTCCATGGGTGGATGAGATCTGCCCGGAGTTCCTTAAGGCTTTGGATGTTGTGGGGCTGTGTTGGCTGACGCGGCTCTGCAATATCGCGTAGACATTGGGGACAGTCCCACTGGACTAGCAGACCGGGGTTGTGGTCCCCTTATTTAAAAAGGGGGACCGCAGGGTGTGTTCCAACTACAGGGGGATCACACTCCTGAGCCTTCCTGGTAAGGTCTATTCAGGGGTTCTGGAGAGGAGGGTGCGTCGGATTGTTGAACCTCAGATTCAGGAGGAGCAATGTGGTTTTCGTCCTGGCCGTGGAGCACTGGACCAGCTCTATACCCTTAGGGGGATCCTGGAGGGTGCGTGGGAATTTGCCCAACCAGTCTACATGTGCTTTGTGGATTTGGAGAAGGCGTTTGACCGCCTCCCTCGGGGGGCCCTGTGGGGGTACTTTGGGAGTATGGGGTACCAGGCCCTCTGATACGGGCTGTTAGGTCCCTGTATGACCGGTGTCAGAGCTTGGTCCACATTGCCAGCAGTAAATCGGGCTTGTTCCCAGTGAGAGTTGGACTCCGCCAAGGCTGCCCTTTGTCACCGATTCTGTTCATAACCTTTATGGGCAGGATATCTGGGCGCAGCCAAGGTGTGGAGGGCATCCGTTTTGGTGGCCTGAGGATCAGGTCTCTGCTTTTTGCAGTTGATGTGGTCCTGTTGGCTTCATCAGAACGTGATCTTCAGCTTTCGCTGGAGCGGTTCGCAGCCGAGTGTGAAGCAGCTGGGATGAGAATCAGCTCCTCTGAATCTGAGACCATGGTCTTGAATCGGAAAAGGGTAGAATGCCTTCTCCGGGTCAGGGATGAGGTCCTGCCCCAAGTGGAGGAGTTTAAGTATCTTGGGGTCTTGTTCACGAGTGAGGGAAAACTGGAGCGTGAGGTCGATAGGCAGATTGGTGCTGCATCTGCAGTGACGCGGGCGTTGTACCAGTCTGTCGTGGTGAAGAGAAAGCTGAGTCAGAAGGCGAAGCTCTCGATTTACTGGTCATTCTACGTTCCTACCCTCACCTATGGTCACGAGCTTTGGGTAGTGACTGAAAGAATGAGATCACGGATACAAGCAGCCGAAATGAGTTTTCTCCGAAGAGTGGCTGGGCTCTCCCTTAGAGATAGGGTGAGAAGCTCGGTCATTTGGGAGGTGCTTGGAGTAGACCCGCTGCTCCTCCACATCGAGAGGGGCCAGTTGAGGTGGCTCGGGCATCTGGTCAGGATGCCTCCTGGACGCCTCCCTGGTGAGGTTTTCTGGGCACGTCCAACTGGGAGGAGACCTAAAGGTAGACCCAGAACATGGGGGAAGGACAATGTCTCTCATCTGGCCAGGGAACGCGTTGGGATTCCCCCGAAGGAGCTGGCCCAAGTGGCTGGGGAGAGGGTAGTCTGGGCCTCTCGCCTTAGGCTACTGCCCCCGCGACCCGACTCCGGATAAGCGGATGAAAATGGGTGGATGGATGGAGTAAATTTAGAAATATACATTGAATTAATCATAAAATAAAAAATGACCTTTAGCTTCTTTTTTCCTGAACCCACTGTCTTAAATACACAGTGTAATATGTGCTGCTGAATGTATCAAGTAATTAAAATTTTGATTTGCTTTAATGTCAGAAAATCCCACAGATTAAAATTGTTAGTGTGCTGAGGTTCAGAAAGAAATGATTTCATAAAACTGCACACAGTAATATTAAGTTGTCTGTGAAAAACTGACTGCTTCTTCTGGTTTTAAAAATGGGCCAATTAAGGGGAGCCTGGCTCCCCTGAAAGTATGATGGGCTCCCCTAGAAGCCCTCAACTGACACCCAGGGGGAGCACAAAAAGAAAATCCAGTTTCTACCTGGATTACATTCTTTTTATGGACATTCTGATAGTACTCCAGTCCTGTGCACGACCACAGTAACATTCTCAAAGCGGGGCCAACACACAATTGTTCATCTCTGCTCGTATTCTATGAATCTATGTCTTTTATTTGTGCCTGATGTGCTCCGCTGCTGTGGAGCTCATCACCCGTGCTGCCGCGCAGTGCACACTCTGCTATTTTAGTGGTCGACAAATCTCTTTGATCAGCTTATTTCAAAAGTAACTCATGAGGAAAAAGAGTAGGAAGCCAGGCAGCAGATTTTCTGGAGGATTGAGAAGAGATGCAGGATCAGAGACTGACAGGATAAAATAGTCAAATAAAAAAACTGAAAACAAAAAAAGTGCTTGAAAAGGTAAATGTAGGTAGATTTATCCCACTAATGTTTTTGGAATCAATTCAGATCACTTTCAAAACTCTGTTCCACACCCAGGCCATTTCAAAGCCACCCCCCTACGCACCTGTGTCACGTTATGGGAAGGATGTTGGAAACCAAATTGCAGAAACCCAGGATGACACGAGGCAGGAGATGATGTGAAGTAAAATCCTTTATTTTACGGTGAACCAAAAACATGTAAATCCAAAGGGGTGGGAAGCCAATATCCAAAAACATTCAAAATCCAAAAACTAGTGATCCAAAACTGAGACACAAGAAGTACAAGTAAAACTAGAGACGAGGAAACTGGAGACTGACAGAACACTCACACTGACAGCAACAATGGACCGACAAACACAGAGTGACAAGACAAGGCTTATAAACAGGAGGGAGGCAATCAGGGAAACAGGTGACAGGTGTGAGGAGTGTGAGCTGAGGAGAAACTGGTGGAATCAATTAACAAAATGGGAAGGGAAGGAGCTTGACCAGAGGGCAGATAAACATTAACACAAAACTAAACCTAAAGCCTGAGGGCCAAAAACAAACAACTAATAACCAGATGGATGAGGAGGACTAAATAAAGATTGATTAGGAATGGGGAATGATTAGAAGGACACCTGGGGAAGTCTACAGAGGGCTAGAGGTAAAACTTGACACACAACAGAAATGCAGACAACGGACACATGAGGGCGCTAAGAGAGCACAAAAGGAGAACCTGGAGTGGGAACTGGAGGAGCTGGGGAACAAAGGGACACAGAACATGATAACCTGCCTCACAGGGTTTGCCCAGAAGTCTCTGCGTACTTGGCACCCTGGGCTACTTGCACTTAACT